ACCACAGCCACACCTCGCACCCATTTAAGTACCAGCTGCTCCTTTTTTAAAAACTAAGGTTTATCACAACCCTCTGAGTTTGATTCCCAGCACCACACACACAAAAAGTAAATAACTAAAAATAAAAACAAGATCCAGTCTAGCAGAATGAAAGCCGGTGTGGATGGCAGGTACAGGGACAGTGGTTTTCTCCAGGGAAGCACTGGAGGGGGTTAGACTAGAAGGTGGGCAAGGGCTAAGGGGACACTTTGGAAAACCATGGCTGGATTTGACTGTACCCTTTCCTGCATCGACTAGGGAGAGGCTTGTGAGAGGCAGTAAAAAGGCAAAAAAAAAAAGGGCCACTGGCTCTCCAGCAGGCACAGGACTGGCACCTGAGTGGGCACGGTCACTGCATGTTCTGTCACCCTGGAGCCCGCAGTGTTTGCCTCCGGGTTCTCCTGCTCTCCTGGGGATGGCAGGATACTCCCTCACCCCAGGATCCGGGGGAGAAACCGACATAGGCATGAACTGTGCGAGGAGAGCAGCGCCAGAGAGCCTGCGGGCCAGGGCGGGCGCCACCTGGTGGTGGAGTCAGGCAGGGGCCAGGTCAACGCAATCCTAAGGCGTGGGTGGGATGGGAGCGCCACTCCCTCCCCTCCTCTCTCACCCGGCTTCTCCTTGGCAAGCTGTTTATCCAAGGCAAGGGTGGTCTTCTCCTCCTGAATGAACATTCGGTCGATCATTACCATCTCGGCCGAGGGGCTCACCCTCTGGTGGGGTTGAGAAGAGAACACAGGTTAAGAAGCAAGATGGGGGCGGGGGGCGGTGTCTTGTGATCTGACCTCCTGCCTCCCTGCCAACCTCTCTTCCCGCTAAGGGGCAGGAAGCCCTTCCCTGCTCAGAGAGGGGAAGGGTAAGGCTAGGGTCATAGGCGGGAGGGAGGGCAGGGAGGAGTGGCAGGGGGTTGTGGCCCTTACCCGGGACTCCTCCAGGAGCAGGAGCCTGTATTTATTAAGCATGGCCTGGGTGCGCTTCAGCAGCTGCGTGGAGACCGTCTCAAACTCCTCGTCCACTGCCAGGAAGACAAGCGACGGGGCCAGAAATGAGGGCGCAGATTGTGCTGGGACCGCAGGTCAAGTGCACATGCGCTGACCCGTCTCTATCCTTTGGGCCTCCTGCCCCTACCAGGGCCTGGGGGTCAGGGGACTGTGGGGAGGCCTCACCTCTGTGGTAGTCGCTGGGGGAGGGGAGGGCACCCTGGTAGACGTGGTAGGGCAGGAGGCGATGCAGGGCGTCCTCGAAGGAGGGGAAGGCCGTCTTGTAGTCGGGGTGCAGGACCGAGCCCTGGTGTCTGTGCAAATGCTCTAGGAAACTGGGGCAGGGAGGGGTGGGAGAGACCACACAGAGCAGGGTGAGGGCAGGAGGGAGTGAAGGGCAAGGGCCCTGCAGCGGGAGGTTATGGGCACACGTACCCAGCCTGGGCCCTGTTCCACTGACTCCCTGCCACCAGCCAAAGGCAGCAGTGCGACCATCTCCCCATTTTACAGTAGAGGAAAACGAGGCTGCGAAAGGTCACTCCTGCCCCAAGTACACAGAGCAGAGCGCCAAGGAGTGCTGGACCGCAAGCTCATGCTCTGTGCTGTTCGGTCTCCTGCCACCTGGCAGCAGTGTCCCCCTGTCCCTGGCCCCACAACCCTCTGGGGAGCAGGGTGTTGTGGTGGGTAGGTGGCAAGATCCTGTTCCCTCCCTGGGCTGCCGCCTCCTCACAGCGCCTGCTACAGCGGTTAGGTCTCCATATCGGGGACCGACCGCCTCCTGCCACTGGCCGGACTCCCAGCACACCTGGGGGCAGGGGCTCTGGTCTTGTCACTGCGGGGCTGCCAGCATGTACACACTGAGCACCTCATACACACTCGGTGGGAGGAGGACCAGCATCAGCGCCCACCACCCAAGCACCCGCCTCTCCACCGAGTCTTTTCTGCCCCTCAAAACACATCTACCCATGCAGCCAGGCACCCTCACCTGCACCCTTGGCTCTAACACCCACCTGCCCACAGGTTCCATTCCCTTCACCCCACCCTGTGCCAGCATGTCTGAGGCACCGAGGGAGACCCAGCTGCTGCCCCCTAGAAGCCAAGGCCCACTTGTCCCAGCCAACCCTCACCCCACTCTCGTCAGCACTGCATTCTCGGGAGGGGGAAACTGGGGGCCTGGAAGGTGCTGGGGGGAAGCAGAGACACTGCTGAGGAACACAGCCTTGGGGTGGCGGGGGCAGGGCACAGGGCAGGGGGCACCCACTCACCAGGCCTCCTTGCTGGGCTGCAGCGTGGGGGGCTTCTTGAGGCTGCTCAGCTTGCTTTCGTACTGGGGGGGAAAGGAGGTGAGTGACAACGTGACGGGGACCCTCCCAGGTGTCTGGACCTGCTCCCCTCCAGCATGGGGCACAGGGAGGCAGGGGTCCCGGCCCCAGCTGCAGGGGAAATGTGGTCTGGGCTGCGCTGGGGACAGTGGAGAGGGTGACAAGCAGGCCTGAACCCTGTCCCCTGCCCAGCCTGGTCTCTGGGTCTGTCTGACTCAGGTCTCATATCTCGTCCCTTCACCAGATGGTCCTGTTCCCGAGCCACTGTCTGACATGTGGCCCCTCCATCTGCATGCTCTGTCTCCACCCACGTCACCCTCTTTCCCCTGCCTTGTCCTGTCTCCCTTCTGCCTCTGGCAAATCGGTCATCTCCACCTACTTGGGGCCCTGGTCCCTCTGACCGCCCTCTCCCCAGCGTCTGAAGGCCAGTCTGCCTTACCTGGTCCTGGTGTCGCTGGCACCACCTGACCTGTGGGTGTGTCTGGAGTCCTGACCCTGTCCCTCCTGTCCATGTCAACTCCCATCTGGGACTGGCTCGCATACTGTCACCCGGCTGTCCTGGCACCTGTCTGTCTGGGTTTTGACCTCTAAATCTTGGTCAGTGGGTCCCATCTGCCCCTTCCTGCCCATCTGGCTGTTTCTAGTGTCCTAGTTCAGCCTGCCACGCTGGCCCTGTCTCCCAGTTCCCTGGTGACGCCTGGTCCTGCACTGACCCTGCTCTGAGGACCTCTTACCTGCAGCCCAGAGGACTTTCCTGGCCCGGATACAGCGGCCTTGGCCACACTCAGGGTTGGGAGGTTGCTGGCAAAAGTTTTGCTCTCGGCAGGAAGCAGAGGAGGGAGGCCTGGGCGGGGCGGGGAGACAGGCCTGGGGTCACTGGCACGAAGGCCAGCTGCACACGTGTGCTCCCCTCTGTGCCCGCCACTCTCCTCCTGGTCCTCTGGCCTTGACAGACACAAGCCCTGGGCCAGGGCAACAAGCCCTGTCCCCTGCCTGCCTGTGGCCTGATGTCCGGGTGTCGCCCTGGGCTGGCAACCCCACAGCTCTGCCCCAGCCCACCCCTTTGAATCTCAGCCCCCACCCCGCCTTCAGCCCGGGTCTCTCCTGTGTGGGCTCCTCCCCCTACCTGTGGTGGCCATGGGTGCCTGGGCAGGGGGATGGCTGGAGGCGGTGGGGGTCCCGGATGGGGCCTGCCCACTGACCAGCACAGAGACAGTGGGGTTGGCGAGGGACCCCAGGCTGGTGGAGGTCTGCGGGACGGTGGGGGCCCCCCCAGCCTTGTTCTGGAGAATGATTCCGGACGGCACCTGAGGAGGGGACAGGTGGTTGAGGGGCAGGGGCACGGGCTAGGCGTGAGGGTGGCCAAATGCACCAGGGCCAGGAATGAAGAGCCGGGAAGCAGAAGGGATGGGCCGGGCGGGACGGCAGTGTCCCTGTGGTCCATTACCTGGTGGAATCTCTCCAGAAGAGCCTTCGGCTGGGGCAGCGCTGGAAAGGGGGTGGTCACCATCTGGAAGGTCCGAGGAGGCGGTAGGGGGGGCGCCGTGGGCTCGGGGACCAGGTGGAGGGTTGGTGGGGGGGTGGGGGACTTGTGGGGTCCCTGGCCAGGCGGGAACTGGAGCTGGAAGTCGGGCGGCGTGGGGGCTGGCAACCTGGTGGGCGTCTCGGAGGAGACTGCCCCCGAAGAGGTGGAGGTAGGAGGGAGGTGGGGGGCTGGGGGCAGCGGACCCTCAGGTGGCTGGGACGGGGGGCGTAGGGGGGGCTGGGGGGGGCCAGGGGCAGTGGGGGCTGGGGTGCTGGCTGGTGGGGGTACACCCAGCTGGTTCTGGATAACAAAGATGCCGGGCAGAGTGGGGGGCGCCTGGGGTGGGGGGCACGGGTGCAGGGCTGGCTCTGAGGGCGGGCGGGACAAGCTCTGGGGCTGGGAGGGGGGGCGGGAGTGGGGGCGGGAAGGGGGGCGAGACGGGGGCCGGGCAGGGTGCGGGGAGGGCAGGTGGGGGCTGTCTCCCAGAGGGGCCTGGTGAGGTAGTGAGGGGGACGAGGAGGGGCCCGGGCCCTTCAGTGGAGCTGCTGCTGGGATCTGGGCGGGGGAGGGAGTGAGAGGGAGGGGCGGGGTCAGAACAGCCTGGGTCCCACTGCTCCCAGAACTGAGGACCCAGCCACCCCAGTCCGAGCCCCACTCTGAGCCTACCTCAGTCCTGAGGAAGGACCCCACGTGGCTACCCTTCCCCGTCCACTCCGCCTTCTCTCTGTGCCACCTCATCCCCACTGCCCCCCACCTCCGCCTGTCCCCACCGTCTCCCCCACATTTCCCTGCCCTCTGACCTCCCTCTGCCTCCCCCGCCCTGACCAGGTGAAGGCAGGTCCTGCAGGTTGCAGGTGGGCAGCAGCAGGGGAGCAGCGGCAGGCGGGGCAGCCCGGGCCCAGGGAGGCCAGGAGCAGGGAGCAGGGGGCAGAGCGGAGCATCCCGGCACAGCCAGGGCACAGCCAAGGGACAGCACAGGCACGGCTCTGTGGCCAGGGTGTGGGCGCAGAGGCTGGGGCCATGGAGCTGAGGGCAAGAAGCAGCTGTGGAAGCCCGGCCAGGCCGGTTCACAGCCACATGGGTGGGGAGACACTGGCAGGTGTGTCCTGAGCCCTGTCTGTCCACCTGCAGGGCCATGGCCGTGCGCCTAGCTGCACAGCCCTGATGAGGTGCCTGCACCCTTATCAGGCAGAGCCCGAGTCTGAGGACACAGGCAGCCCAGCACGTTCTGAATGCCACACAGCGACCTCCCTAAGCTGGCCTCTGCCAGAGCACCTCACCCCTCTGAAATCTCTTGCCAAGAAGTCAGCTGCCACCAACCCTGACATAGCAGCCACTATGCAGCCAGAGAGTGCCAGCCAGGAACCCAACACTGGCCCCACACCCTGACACCTGCAGATCTAGCGCACACGGCTGGGCACCTGCACCGACCCTGCCACCCCCGCCCCCTGGCCATGAGAGCAGGGACAACTGGACGCATTTCACCGAAGAGAAACAGGCTGGGGAGCCCCGGAACCACTGCCCAGTCTCTTGACAAGGACAGGTCAGGCTCGGAGGCTCTGACGGCAGCTCAGCACCTCTGCCTGACACCACTTGGACACTGCCGAGCCATCTTCCAAAGCTGGCTGAGGAGGACCCAGGACCAGGGAGCTCAAGGGACCTGCCAAAGGCCACCCGATGTTGCCATGCTCCAACGCTGGGCCCCAGCCGTGGGCCTCCCATGTGGGGACAACGTGGATGCAAAAACTCATGTTCGAGTGGCTTTGTCGACTGAGAATCCTCCTCAGCGTCACCGCAACTGTTTCAGAGTCACCACTAGCCCTGTCCTCCAAATCTGGGACCCTTCCAGCTCCGTCCAAAACCTGGCCCTGAACCACTTCAGGGCAACTCAGAGACAAAACAATGAAAATAACCACACAAACACCTCCCTAAAGGACTACCACCCCTAGGAGAGGTCAGAGGGCCAGCCTGGCTCACCACAGGGCTGACGGGACAGTCCCCTAGGAAACCCTCCAGAAGGCAGCTTGGTCTGGGCCTTTGAAGGGTCATGACTGAACCTGGTCGATCTCGCTCCAGGATCTGTGGTAAAGCACACTCAGCCAGGCTCGGGTGGGAGATAGAGGGGACAGGAACCCGCAAGGCAGGGGTGGGTCAGTGCCCTCTAGGGACGTTTCTGACCTTGTGTGTCACTTTTAAAATTTGAGAAAGAGGAAGAAGGGCTGGGAGTGTAGCTAATGATGGCAGGGCGCCTGCCTAGCATGCCCGAGGCCCTGGGTGGGACCCCAGTACGCAAAAAAGAGGACAAGAAAGAGAAAGGCAAAGAAAGAACATCGGGCGCGGGCTTGCAGGCCTCCCACGGGGACAACCCAGAGGACCGGCAGCCAGCCAGGAGGAGACCGGTGGGGAGGGACCACAGTGCCGCCCACTTACCACCCCAAACGCCTTCCCAGGGGCTCAACAAACGGCCACACGGAAGCGCTGGAGAGCTATGTGGACTGGGAGGACGCCGCCGGCCATGGTGACAGGGCAGCAGGTGAAACCGGACTGTGGCCAGCAGACTGGGTCCTGCACTGCATGCTAAGCTCACCGACTTGGACGACAGTACACCAGGTAAGTGAGAGTGCTCCCGTCCCCCAGGGCTGACCTATCACACTGAGATGTCCAGGAGTAAAGAAGTGTTGTTGGCGATGGGGTCTCAAGTGACTCTGACGGGAGACGTGCCCACAGGTGAGAGCTCCGGATACGGCTAACAATGCAGAAGGTTCACGGTGGGCGACAGGGTAGGCAACCAGCCTCCAAGTGGCCCCTGACGATCCCCTCCTCCTGGTGTTCAGTCACCTCCCACAAGGCACCAAGGCTGGTCTGTGACCAGTGCAATTTGGAATGGCAGGTGTGGTCAACCGTAGGTCACTTCCCAGATTCGGTTATAAAACAAGACTGCAAATGTCACTCTGAGCAGCCCCACCCGGCTCTCCTTCCACTGGGGAAGCCAGATGTGGCCTGTGCGGACCTAACCTTTACAGACCCCCCTCGGGGAAGCACTGAGGCCTCTGGCCAACAGCCACAGGACAGCTGGAAGCAGACTCCCCAGCTTAGTGGGGCCCAGTGACTGCAACCCCAGCTAACACCTCGATCATAACCTCACGAGGGCTCAGAGGCAGACCCCTCAGCCCGCTGCTTCCAGGCCCTGACTCACACTGAGAGACACACTGATGCTTGCTGCTTTAAGCTGCTAAGTTTTAGGGGTCACTTATCACACAGCAACAGATAACTAACAAATGTGGTTAAAGAATAAAGAACTCTTCGGGTGCCCTGGCGCACACATGCCTGTAATCCCAGCAGCTCTGGAGGCTGAGGTAGGAAGATCCCGAGTTCAAAGCCAGCCTCAGCAAAAGTGAGGTGCTAAGAAGCAACTCAGTGAGACCCTGTCTCCAAATAAAATACAGAATAGAGCTGGGGATGTGGCTCAGTGGTCGAGTGCCCCTGAGTTCGATCCCCAGTACCAAAGAGAGAGAGAGAGAGAAATGCACATCAAAAGCAGCCCAGAGTGTCATGTTTTAACTCATCACTTTGGGAATAAGTCAAGTGTCCAGTAAAGACTTTCATGCACGTTGTCCACACTGGGTGCAGTTCACCCGCAGTGACTGGATCGCAAGTGCACATCCGCTTATTGCAGCCAACAAGCTCCCAGGAAGTGAACAGACTGCCGCACGGGGAATGTGGCAGGGACTGGGGCTTCTTGCGGCGCCATGTGGAGCCTAATGCCCATCAGTAGCCACGTACCAGGGAGATGAACACCACTGTCCCCAGAGGAAGGCTTCCAACTATACCCGGGGATGAGGACACGTGCCCCAGGCCACCTAAACATATAATGCACAGTCTGGGGGCCAACGGGACAGAACGGAAAGCTGCCTTTCAGTAGACTGCACCCACACGAGGACCTGGAAGGGTGTACAAAACAAGTTGCCGTGGGCTGGGGATGTGGCTCAAGCAGTAGCGCGCTCGCCTGGCATGCTTGCGGCCCGGGTTCGATCCTCAGCACCACATACAAACAAAGATGTTGTGTCCGCCGAGAACTGAAAAATAAATATTAAAAAAATTCTCTCTCTCTCTCTCTCTCTCTCTCTCTCTAAAAAAAAGAGTCTATTAAAAAAAAAAAAAAAACAAGTTGCCGTGGTTACCTGGAGGGGGACAGGTGGCAGTAGGCTGGGGAGGCAGGGCCAGGGTGACACACTGTGCCCTGACACAGAAGAAACCCACGACATTACCAACTGCACCCATAGGGTGCCATTACAGGGGATTTTTTTTTTTCTGTATCTTCTAAATTTTCTAAATAAGCATTAAATTCTTATGTGTATACATGTGTGTATATGTACACGTGTATACACACACCACACACATGTCCCTCCTGGTGCTGGGGAGTAAGCCGCGGGCCTCATGCATGCTCAGCAAGTGCTCTACTAGGCTGCACTCCAGCCCAATCAGTTTTGAAAACACTGCCACAGGAGTATTTATCAAGAGATTCTGGCCTGGGGACAGAGCTCAGTTGGTAGAGTGCTTGCTCTCTACATGTATAAGGCCCTGGGTTCAGTCCCCAGCACCACAAAAAAAAAAAAAAAAACAAGATTTCAACTGTCCATGAGGATGGCAAGATGCTCGGCCTCGTGTACGATTAGAGAAAAGGACAGGGAACTGATGTTCTGTGGCCCAGGGAAGAGCAGGCTAGCTGTGACCTGGTGCTGGTGGGCTGTGGGAGGAAGCCCTTGGTGGCCCAGCCCCGTGCAGAGCAACCAGGTGACATTTACATAAAATGTTTGGGAAGCGCTTTGCTCTGAAGCCCACGTTTCTCCTTCTAGAAATCTACCCTGCAGATGTGTTCAGTACGGACTCCAGATGTTTTAAGTGCTGTTGTTAGCTGTGACAAGGGACCACCTTGAGTATTCCTGAAGAGGGAACTGAATACATACTTCAAGGTGACTTCAAACAGCTGGCCCTGTGACAGCTGAATGGGGAAAGAGGTATATAAAGGAATTATGTCTGCACTGAGCACGTTCAAACATTTTTTTCTTACTATTCCCTGAGGAATACAGAGTGACAACACTCACATAGCACATCGTCTCAGGCACTGTAAGTCACCTATGAACAACCTAAAGCCCAGGGGAGCAGGTGCTGTCAGGGTGGGGCACTGCTGGACAGAGCCCTCGCCCAGCTCACACGGCCCTGGGTTCCAGCCCCAGTACTGTGAGAATCAACACTGAAAAATCCATGTGAGGTTACGGAGGGGCTCCGCATCTACAGAGCCTTGGTGTCTGCGTGGGGGTCTTGGAACCAACCCCCCTGCAGGGAGGGAGGGATAACGATCATGAGCCACAATAGAAAGACCTCAAAGGAGAGCACACCAAGGCCACAGGTCAGATCTGCCCACTGCCTGGCCTGGCCTACCATCTTCTATGTCCCACAAGATAAGAAACATTTTACATTTTTAAATGATTGGGGGAAATTTTAAAGTAGAATAGTATTTTGTGACTCATGAAAATCATATGACATTCCAAATTTCAGTGTCTTGGAGTTTTACTGGAACATTCCAAGCTTGTTTGCTGTGGTTTATGCTGCTTCTCCACTACAGCGAGAGCTCAGGACCGGCGCGCTGGCTCATTATGGCGAGCTTGCCTGGAGAAACAAATAACTAAATAATGGAGAAGGACAGAAGACTTGGCCCGGTTATTTTTGTTCCACAGTAAAACATACACTCTTTCCAGGCGCCCAACCCTGACCTAAGGGCATTACATACATCAATTTATTTAGTCCTTGTAACTATAAAGTAGCTGCTATTATCCTTATTTTTACAGATAAGGAACCCGAGGCCCAGAGAGGCCAGCAACTTGCCCAAAGTCACAGAGCCTGTGGGGCCAGGGGCCCAAGCACCCTTCCTCACAGTCCTCCCAGGCGTGGGTGCCAAATGCTCCCCGTGCCCATTCGCAATGACTCAAGTCACTCCATGGGCTGTGATCAGATTTACGAAGAACACAAGAGAGAGAATAGGAAACACTGGTGTGCATCATGCAGGGCACCGGGGAAGCTCTGTGTTCAGTGACACATACACACAGGTGTTCCCTGGGTGGTGACATTAAGAGGCACTCTGATCCAAGGTGGGTGGGGAAGTCGTCTGAGAGGCAGGCCTCCAACACTGTTGCTAAAGAAGCAAAGCCGGATGCACAACGCGGTTTGGGGGCTTCTGTCTGCACAGACATGAGAGGAAAGTGCATGTGTACACAAACGCACACGCACGCACACACACGCACACACACGCACACGCACACACACGCACACGCACTCGCACGCATGCACAGTCAAGTCTACCTGGGTCAGAGCTCAGAGGCTGGACGGCAAGGAATTACTGCTTGGATCTCATATGCTTCTCAAAGTGAGTGACCACATCGCTCCAGGGCACCCTTGGTGACCACTGACCCCCTCACTGCTCACTGACCACCACTGGAGAGCCTCCTACACGTCAGGCATCAGGGTAGGCAACCGCTGCACAGGGCCAAACCTGTGCACTGACCCAGGCGGCCTGTGTGTGATGGAATCAGCTCACATCCCTACCTGCCGGTCCAAGTGCCCACAGGGTCACTACCATCCCTGAGCGCTAGCCTGTGCACAGCCACCGCGTGGTCAGTCGGGGGCCTCACTCCATTCTGCAGGTGAGGAGACTGCACTTCTGAGAGCTGACTACACAGAGTGGGATTCACACCTAGGCCTGTCTCTTGCCACAAATTGCCAGGGTTTGGATCCAGGCTCTGCCCTGACCAGCTGGGCAGCCTGGGCAAGCAAATTCATCTCTCTGGCCTCAACTTCCTCATCTGTAAATGGGGGATGAACACCACCCACCTGAAGGAGGAGCCATAGGGTTTCGATGAGAGGCTGGCTGTGAAGTGTGCGGCTTGCACCGAGAGGCAGACAGGGCTGCCATCTGTGGAGTGATTGCCACACACCCTCTTCCTCAAGCCTCCGGCCCTTCAGCCATTTCCAAACCGTCCCCCAAACCTTTGCACTCCTCTCCCTCATCTCTGCTAGCTCCCAGCCTGAGACACTGCCCCCTTTCCCTGGAGACCCCCCAGCCACCTCAAGGTCTCCACTTCCACTCTTGTCTTCCGACAAACCATCTTCCAATGGCAAGTTACCGGAGCATGCTGCGGCCTGGCTGGGGACTGTCCACCCCTTCTAGGTCCAAACTCCTCGATGGCCCATGGGAGCTGCGGCTTCTCCGACCCATTCTTGCTCTGCCACTCCTCCCCACTGCCTCATCCCAGCCTGGGGCTCTGCAAATGCAGGGTCCCCTCAGGGCATAGGCCCTCCTGCACAGGGAGCGGTGCCCCTGCTGCACTCGCTGCTGCCACCACCACCAATGCCCTCTCTGGCTGGCTGCAGGCCGGTAACGGGCCTGAGTCTCCCTCCACTTCACTGTGGTGGGCTCGACACAGAGCCGGCCACGGAGTGCTCCTGAGGCTAGGTGTCCCTCCATCCTGTGTTCCCATCCGCTGGGCACCCGCTACCTGCCAGGCACTTCTGGGCACAGGGGACACACCCCCTGCCCTCCCAGAGCCTAGATTATGGCAGAGTGCGAGTTACTCAACAGAGACCGTGCCCTTTGGGCAGGAGGACACGAGCACTTTGGAGAAGGCAGGAGCAGGCTGGGCTGCAGTCTCTGAAGTGCCTGGGGAGGAGCAGATAGGGCCCTCGACCTGGGCTGTCTGGAACTTCGTTTTGCTTTTTGGTACCAGAGACTGAACCAAGGGGTGCTTAGCCACTAGCCACATCTCCAGCCCTTTCTATTTTATTTGAGACAAGGTCTCGCTAAGTTGTTGAGGCTGGCCTTGAACTTAAAATCCTCCTGCCTCAGCCTCCCAAATCGATCCAGGACTCTGTTTTAAAAGTGAAAGTCCTGCGATTGAGAGCTGAAGGCTGTACTGGTGAACAGGGAGGGCCTATTGCCTCAGGACGAGCAGGAGAGCTAGCACTCAGCACGCATCTTCTCATCCACAACCACCAAGGCGCAAGAGTACACAGGTCTCCACAGTGCCCTCAGGAGGGCTCCCACACCCTAGCAGGGTGGCCTGGAGAGGAAGTCACCAGCCAGGCAGCTTCAGCTCATGCATTTTCAAAACAGGACCCCTCATCCCCCTGCCCCTTCCTGCCTTTCTCCCTGGGTGCCATCCTAACCCTGTGTCTCTTTGGTGACTGTCACTGGCCCCAGGCCTCCTCCCATAATGACAGCTAGGAACAATAATGACCTAACCATTTCTGGCGGATTCCCTCCTTCATTGCCTACAGCTGCTGCCCCTCCCCCATCTGAGGGAGGCCTGAAGAAGCAGGTGGCTCAATGTCACATGGCAAAACCACAGCTGTCCAAGGCCAAAGGCCATGCTGATCTCTGCCACCTGGCCCATGCCGAGGCCACTCCCTCTTCTCTCCACCTGTCCCTTGTCCTTTTCAAAGACTACACCATCCACTCCTGCAGAGCAAAGTGGCCCTCCATGACTTCTTATGTTTACATGACAATGACTCATATGAGACAGGAGCTCATTTTCCCTACAGGTAGAGTTTCTATAAATCAATAATAAAATGACCAGTGACCCAAACTTTAAAGCAATTTCATAGAACGGAACTTACAAATAACCCTTCCTCTGAAAACTTGCCTGACCTTATTCATAATAAAAGAAATACGTATTGAAACAACATCCGGTAGTTGTTGTCACCTATCAGCTTGGCCAAGTTCAATACCAGCGAGACTTCAGGAAAACAGGTACAAATCATGTACTGATGATGAAGATCAAGCCGATTTAGACCCACAGAGGGCAATCTGGCCAAGGGCAACCCCCTGTAAGAACTCAGCCCACAGAATCATGGACACACTCATTCTCTACAACTAATGACCAAGCCTGGCCTAGCACGCCACCACACAGCTGTAGAAAAGAAGAATGTCTCTAAGGTCACTGGAAATGATAAGATTCGACCTGTAGGCAGAGTATGTTGTGTTTGTAAAAATGGAAAGAAAAGAATGCACGTGTGACTTTCCTCTATGTACAGAAAAGAACTGCAAGACGCCACCCCAGGGAGCTTCAGAGGCTGAGGAAGGGGCTTTTCACCACCCCTTTTAGCATCTCCTGGGATGTGAACCCTCGGGGGCGTCACTTACTCCAGTGTGAGCATGGCAACTTTAAGAAATAACTCATTTCCCGCTGGAGGCATCCTGTGTCCCTGCCTAGAGTGTGGGCTCCCAGGGCTGGACCTGGTCTCAACTGTCCCCGCTCTCTGGAGACACAAAATATGGACAGGCGGTGGGGGGGGGGCAGGGGGCCAGGGGGCACACCGAGTCAGCGAGACAGAGGCAGGCAGGGCAGAGCGGGGAGGAGAGCAGGAGCAGGGGCGAGGCTGGGTCTCAGCCAAGGACAGAGGCTGCTGGGGTTCATCTACCTGGGGGGCTGGAGCCGGGGAAGCCTGGCTGTCGGGGGCCTGAGGGCCGAGGCCAGCTCCTTTGGCGGTGGGGGTGGCCAAGGCTGGGTCTTGGGCGGGAGGCGGGGCGCTGACTATGACCGAGGCAGGCACGGAGAGGTGGGGGCCCTCTGTGGAGAGGGGCTGCTGGCTCCTCTCCTGCAACGGGCAGCCCGCACAGGGTCAGAAGACCACCCCACGGACCCCTGCCCCCCACCAGAGACCGCTGCTCCCCTGGGTCCAGAGAACGTGTGGTGGGCAGCCAGCGTTCCAGGGGCCAGGGAAGCTGCAACCCGGACCCTGGGCACCAGTCCATTGGGTGTCTTCCAGCCCCACCCACTCCCCCCTTCTGCTGTCTGTCTGTCCGTCGCCCGGTCTTGCCCACTGAGAGGTCCTCCTCCTTGTCTGTCAGTTGGCTAGCAGGTCCCTTCCCCTGACTGTCCGTCCTTCCCCTGATCTGTCTGTCAGCCAGTCCTGCTCTCTGCACACCCGCTGGCCAATCTGCCAGTCTGCCCCCTGCTGTCTCGGCCAGGTCCT